CATGTATAAATATTTACAATATCAATTAGAAAATTCGTGTAACATGATCGGCCAATCATGTGAAAGTCCTCCTATGATGGGTGGTGTGCTATTAAAATTGAGGTACGGATCATATGATTTACTATATCTCGTACCCCAATTTTAATAAAGGCGGGTATTTTTGGCATAATGATTTATATAATTTTTAATAAACAATAAAAATTGTTGGGAGAGGCTTAGACTCTAATCGATCATAACTAAACTATTTATATCACATTGGCAATAGGAAAAATCAATTTTACTTTTATATGCCAAATATGATTTTCAATGCAAAGGTTCCATATATTCAAATATGATATGAGTTTAGATTAAAGGAAAATTTTTATTTATATTTTGAGTCGGCTGAGTTTCGAATATACTTATGAATATTTAGGATCCGAAAAGAATAAAGTTTAGAATGTCCTTATATATTCCAAATGCATCTTATTTAAAGCATTAAAAATTTCGCGTTACTTATTGAATAAAAAACTTTATCGCGCATTTATCGTGGCAAAATATTGAGTTAAACAAGATGTGGTACAAGGTAGCCATTATAAATAAAATTTTCGACGATCTTTTATTTTTGAAATTTGATTTAATTTGATATTAAATTTCTTCGCCCAAGAAAGTCAAAGGAAGAATTCAAAATGTCTGACGATCCATTTTTTACTGTTAAAGAGTATAATATTAATTTTCTTTAATTTCTTTTATTTGGGTTTATTATTTATTAACTTGAATCAGGAATTAAGAATTTGAATTTTAAACGCATTATAGAGAAATAGAACAAAATTTCACGACGGTAACAACCCTATTCGAAAGCTGGAATCGTATTTTTAGTACAGTTTCATCTAGGAAAAATGAAGAATTACGAAGAACAGAAGAAGAATTAAAATCAACCTTACAAGATATAGCAACTGATCTGGATGCTGTTGAAGAAACAATAAATATCCTTTTCTTGAAAAAAAAAAATTTAAATTTCATTTACATTTACATTTGTTCATCCCTTTATTGTTCTTAACATGTGAATTATTAATGAATTAAATACGAGTTGTTGAAAATCATCCTGATAAATTTAGTTTAACAAAACGTGAAATAGAATCACGTCGTGAATTTGTCGAACAAGCAAGGTCGCGATTACAGGTACTTTATTTATTTTATTTTATTTTAGTTATTTTCTTTTCTTTTCATAATTTTTGTTTTTTTCGAAATCATATTTCATTGTATTCAATATTCATAGGAAATTCGAAGATCTTTGGAGAATAATCGTCATCAAGTATGTCCCAAAAAGAAGTATTTTTCCCATTTAATTTTTTTTTTAAAAAAATTTTATCCAATATAGGAATTAATTGATGGACATAAATCAACAAAATTATTCGAGCAAGTTAGATCAAAATCAAGATATGAAGAAGTTATAGAAATGGATAATACTAAATTCATAGAAAATGAATCCTTACAACAAACTGTAATTTAATATAATATACATCTTTTTATTTCTTAAGAAAAACAAGGGAAAACTTTATTCGTATTAATTATTTTAATTATAAATAGATTTTGCTAAGAGAACAGGATGATCAATTAGAATCATTATATGGAACTGCCAGAAATATTCATGAAATTGCTACAACGATGGGAACTGAATTAGAGGATCAAAATATGTGAATAATTTTCTATAAAGAATTAAGATTATTTAGTGATTACTTAGTAAAATTATTTTTTTAATAACTTTAAAATCTAATTTTTAGATTGTTGGATGAATTTGGAGATCAAGTAGATAGAACCCAAGGAAGATTGGACAAAGCTATGAGGAAAGTAGCTTATATTATTAAACATAATGAAGGTATGACTTATTTTAATTTGTTATTTTGTTTATAGTTGAATTTATTATTTTATATTCTTAATAATCGGTTTCATTTGAATAGAATCCAAATCAAATTGTTGTATTGTGATTTTAATCATCGTATTAATTATTTTATTAATATTAATTATAGCTGTTTAATGTAAATATATATATGCTAGTATCTAATAATTGTATATTATAATTTAAAATATGAACGTAATGTCGCAAATACTTGGGATTCCAAATTTTTTTTTTATAGTTTCTCGACGCTAATTAATTAATTTTTCTAATTTGTTTGCATAATTTGATTGATTCCAATCGATTGCTGTAATTTATTACCTTAGGATCCAATAATTTCATTTATATATGTTTATTCATTTATAAAGTCTATATACTTTATATATAGAACATGTTATCAACATATATACAGTATATTTATAATTTATTATGTCATAATTATTTTGATTCATATATATAAGTAGTTCATTTCAATATCTATAAATAATATATAATCAATTACTTTATTTAATTTTATAAAATTATTTAAAATTAAAAGTATTCTAATTATTAACAATATTTAGAATCAAAATTATATTAATAAATAATTAGATTATTTATACAAAAAATTTTAATATATATATAATATTTATATATTCTAAAATATTTTATAAAGTTTTTATAAATATAAAATTAAAATAAAAATTTTATAATTTAATATTTATTATTATATAAAATATATAAGATGAAAGAATTAAATATAACTTTATAATTTGATTTAGAACTTTAATGAATTTAAAAAAAAATTTTTTATAATTTAATCACTTTACATTATATTATCAAAAATTAAATTTTTTAATTTGAATTATTAAAAAAAGTTACTAATTAATGTAATATAATTTTATTTATTAACTAAAGATGAGAATTTTAATTATAATGTTGTAATTAATTATAACTTTTATATATTGTAACTTATAATATTATTACTAAAAATGGGTACCATAATTAAGAAGTTGCAACTTGGTTGCAACTCCTTGTAAATTTATTTTAATATAAAAATTCATAAATAGTTGCAACTCAAAGTGTTGCAACTTAAGTTGTAACTAGTTAAAAATTTTAAAAATAATTATGGGAACCATCTTTAATTATTACATATATTATGACTAATTTTAGCTTATATTATAACAAGTTGTAAATTGAAATAATTGCTATATCATTTTTATATAAAACATTATAAATTAATAAATATTTTATAATTAATTTTAATTAATAGGTTATTTAACATATTATTTTTTAAAAAATAAAATAATATATATTTTTTATAAAAATATTATAATAAATATATTTAAAAACCTATTAAAAATAAATAAATATGTTTTTTTAACTTAAATGTTTAATAATATTTTATATTTATTAATAAGATTTTATTTTAATATTATAAATTATATAATATTGATAATCTACATTTATAAAACAAATTTAAAACTTATTAATTAATTAATTAAATTTTTTTAAATACAATTGTTCTAAATAAATTAGCAAACCATTTTCTTTGTAATTTTTTGTCAAAATTTTTTTATGATTTATAATAGAAAAGTATAAAATTCTAAAGACTTTATAAACTAAATATGATTTTTTTAGTAACACTAATCAAACAATGACAAATTAGAAACTAATCAAATCAAATCCAAATTATCAGATTTGTCCTAATTAGTTTCCTATTTTTGTTTTTTAATATCAGGTATATCAGGTAAATCTGATTGATAATAAATAATAGTATAAATAGAAAACATTAGGATTCAAACAGGTATTATAAAAATATTAATAGGATTCTTATTGATATTAATTTATAATATTCAGCTTCCAATCAGATCATATCTAAGTTATCAATAAGAATATTCTTATTATTACTACTTATTAATATTATTTTATATCAATAAGTAATTCTAATTAATTATAATAAAAATTCTTTTTATTAATATGAAATATTTCAATTGATACAATTTATATAAATTTAAATATATTTGAAACTTTACTGATTTATTTAATATTTATTAATTAATTTATAATAATAATAATATATACAGAGGGTCTCCAAAAGTTTACACATATGATCATAACTATTGAATATATCAAATCCTAATGATTCAAATTAGGCCAAAATTTAATATTATAAATACAATTCAACCCCCTATCACATATAAAAATTTGTGTTAATTCAAATCATTAGTTGCTAAGAATATCAATATAAATGATAACATATAAATTCTTGTTAATTATTTTTTATAAATTAAATAATATATTCGATTTCTTAACAATCTGTAATTCAAATTAGCTCATATTTTATATCTTATAGAATTAGGTTATATTAATAATATATTAAATTTTGGTCCAATTTTAATCACTGGATTTTAAGATATTCAATAATAATGATTATATGCAAAAACTTTAATATATTTTTGCAAATTTTTATAAAATTTTATATTATTATTATTTTAAATTTCTTGTCAACTAGTAATTAAAATTAGTTTAAATTATCAATATATTATTTATCTATATATATAAAAGTTTTGTTTAATTTGAATTACTAAATCTTGAAAAAATTAATGTTAAAGATATTAAAAATATATGTAAACTTTGGAAACTCTTTGTTTAATCAGACCTTTCTAAATATATTCCTCTTAGGATTGAATATAAAGATATATCTAGAGAGAATGTGCATTAAGAGATAATATATATTTTACCAGATTTTATGATTTAATAATTATGATTTTATTTTATTTTTAAATATTTAGTATTGGTTTACAAATAAAATTGATATAAAAAAAATAAAAGAAAAATATTTTTTAGTATAACTATTTACTGAATTTCTTATTACATTAATGATAAAATTGAAAATCACCAGTCTTTAAAGACAAAAAGTATTAAGAAAAGCAAAAGTAAAATAATAATATTTATTATATTAAAGATAATAAATATGAATATTTATATTAATATCTAAAATTCTTTATTATTAATTCTTTTTTGTAATTTAACGTTAGATTGTAATTGCTAATCAAAAAAAATAAATCAAATTATAAATTTTTAACTAATATAAAAATTGCTTTAAAAGTAATGATTGAAAATATAGAGCTGTTTTAAATATTTTTCAAAAGATTTCTATAAAATATTCACAGAAATTTGAAGTGAAATATGTAGTTGGTATTTTATAGAAGTTTCTTAAAATAATCATAATATTAAATATAAAAAATAACTATTTGTTTATCAGACATTTTCTTTTTATTTTAGATGTAAAGATTGTTATTTTATAATTTACTTGTTAATAAATAAACTTTTTATTTTATAGGATGTATATTTAAATTCATAAATAATAAATAAGAATTTAGAATTAGTAGATTTAAACCATATATTATTATAAATTAATTTGATTTTATGTTGAAAGAGATATAAGCAAAAAGAATTTATTCTAATTGATTTTAATATTATTTAATATATAAAAATTATAAATTATTTTTTGATTTACTTAATTATAAAGTAATTATTAATATAGATATCTGATAAAGAATGTTAAAAAAGAACTTAATTTTGAATGGTAATTTAAAGATGATTGTTAAATTTAACTAATAAGAAATTATAGTAAATTAAATATATCATAATATAAGAAAATTATTTTATTTTGATTAATGATATCTTTCTATTCTTTTTTAAGAAATTTGAATTATAAGATATTTGAAATTAAACTATTTGTTTATAATTAATAATATCTAATAAAATTTTTTTTTTAATATGATAAAATTAATAAAATCAAAATAATAAAACTAGTTTTTTTATTAATAACGAAACTATTTTACTTAATTGTTAAAATTATATTTAACTTGATTTGAATTTCTTAAATTAAAGTATATTAAAAAATATAATAATTTTATATTATTCATATAAAAATATTAAAGAAATAAATCCTTTTGATAAATTACAATTTTTTAAAAAGAATTTAGGCAGATACTATTATTTATAATAAATATTTTTACTTAAATTTCTAATAGAATTTTTTGAATTCAATTAAATTTAATTAAATTTCAAATTTAAAAAAAATTATTTTTTAAAGATTTTAAAAAAATTTTAAAATTTTTAAATTATAGTTAAAAGGTTTTAAATAATATTATTAATTTTTTATTATTAATATATAATTATTTTAATATTAAGGTCTTTGAAAGAAAATTTCTGTTCAAAAAACTTATTTAATCCTAAATCTTATCATAATTTCATGCTTTATCTCAATCTTATATCTTATCCTAATCTTACATCTTATCTTAATCTTATATATAACCCCAATTAATCATACTCTAATCCTATATTTTATACTTATTTCATATACTTATATTAATAAGTTTATTTTTATCTTATTCTATATTATTATTATAATATAATAAACTGTTCAATTAATTTTATCATGCTATCTTTAAAGTATAATAAGTATAATAAAATTTTTAATTATTTATCTACTTTTAAAAGATAAAATTTTTTGTCATTTTATATAAGGAATAGCTAATATTCAAAATGTTATTTATTCTACATATTTAAAAGTTGATGTATTTTAATTATTAAATCATATAATATTGTATTTGAATTATAAATAAGACATTTGAAACAAGAATAAATAGATTCATCTAAGAATTTGTAATCTTTTCTTTAATAAATTTAAAACTTGTATAACAATGTAGCAAATATGTTTTTGCTTAATATAATATTTCAAAACATGATTTTGTAATAGGACAATCATGACAAATGATTTTCAAATGTTTCATTTATAAGACTATTTATATATATATATAATGCTTTAAAAACTTTTGATTATCATTTCTAAGAATTTTTTCAAAATTTTATAAAGATTTTGTATAATATGAAGGGAATAATATATAGGATAGGTATATGATAATACTTGTAAAATTGTAAAATTAACTGCAAATCTACATCAGTATTTATTACTATAAGTTTCTGATTTATTGCTTTTAAAATTTCATAAAACATCTAAGAATGTGATTCCAAGATTTCATCAAATAGGAGTTATTAAGCAAGTAATATATTTTTCCAATTTTGATTGAATCCTACAAATAATAATAGCATCATATTATATTGATTTGTTTTGTGTATAATTTCATTCAATACATAATCTGAAAATTGTTCAACTTGATCTGGTGTTATCCAAAATAATTTGATAATGTATTATCAGTATCCTATTCTCTAGCAATTATCCAATAAGAATCTTATTCCTTTTGATAATCTAACCAATTAGATATCAAAGTTGCATCATTTGATAATGTTTTAGAAATTTATTGAAATTTTCATAAAAATCCTTAGAATCAATTGGTTGTGAAGGGTATTTTTCCTTCCAAATATTTTCTTTGAATTGTTGCTTTGAATATGTAATGTGATGTTAGAAATTTAATTTCTTCCATCATTTCAGATGTAAATTTCTTATTTTCTTCAAAAAATATCATTTTAATATTTAAAAGATGATTATGCTAATCAATAATCTTATTTATATGAACATTAAATTTGGGATTTTTTTTGATTTAGGACATGAAGTATTAATTGTAAAAGGATAATTAATTCGGTATTCTTTTTAGATTTAGAGTCATAAGAACGAGAATGGTCGCAAAAGTATGTACGATGTATGATAATCATGTTGTATATAATACTTAATTATACGAAATCATTTTTTTGGACCATTCAAGAAAAAAATCACATTCTTCCCATGTTGAAAAACTTTACCTTTAAATAAATTAGCATTTACAGTCTCGTTAGATAAATTAGGTCGCTCATCATTTTCAGTATCGTTATCATTATTGTGAAAATAATTCTCTTCAAACATATTGCATGAAAAGAGTTTTCGCAGGAAAAAATGTGGTGAAGAAATGTATTTTGGTAATAAACTATGATTAGATTATTATATATGATAAATACAATGATGTAATTGATGTAATTTGATTCATAATATCACGAGTATACAAATCACGTGACATACAATCCTAGCGCCGATAAGAAAAAATAATGATTTAGTGATTTTATCTATCGTCTGCACCAACCAGGATCCATGGTGTTTCGATGAATGCAGTTGTGCCAGCTATAGTTAGTTTTGTACCCAAAGGAGTTATTTATTTAATTGAGTGGTGACAAGAGGTTGCATATATAAATTCCATAAATAACAAATGACGCCATACTATATATAGGATCACAATGGATTTTTAAATTAATAAATATTTAAATATTTGGATTTTCTTATCTTCTTATACTAGTCAGTATATATATTAGTTCCAAATAATCTCAACATTGTTTTTCTCATTATTCAAGAAATCATATTATGCGAACGCCAAGCAAAACAATAAATACGTCAGGATCACTTGAAAGAATTTAGTCCATGTTACGCTAAAAACGATCCTTTTTGCTAGAAATCCAAAGTTTTATTATTCGACTTATAATCAAATAAAGCGAACAAAAGCCAGTATGTTTAGATATTTTCTTTAAATTCGAGATTGACGGCAGTAATGAATGTGATTATCTTGCTAAATTTTAATAATATTATCCATAACCTTAGTTTTTTTAAAAATCATTCTCTTTAAAAGTGCAATATGTAAGTTGGAATAAAGAATTTTTTTTTTTAACAAAAAAAATATTTTTAACCGTCACGTTCATAAAATATTTAATGATAGATATATCCGATAATATTTGCGAACAATGACAAACGCAGGTATTGATAAAAAGCAAATTTGTTCATTTTGCGAGAAAGCTCCATAATTTTCACACTTTTTATCAAAATGAATTCGCATATGGAAATCATTGTATTGCAAAAAAGGATTTTGACATTTTGACATTATACAATTCTTGTTTAATATCGGTAATATATATATGCTCACCATAGTTCTAAATTCAAAAATTATTCGAGAATATTTGTAATTATCAATCAAATCGAATTTACTAAAAATTGATATATAATAAACACCTGTTTGAAAGTGATGATCATAATGAAAGAACTTTTTTTGGACGGACCGGTTCCGCAATGATGGTCCTTATCAAGTTTAGTTTCGTAAAATAATTCGTTAATTTTTTTTAATAGCCACAGGAAGATATTTATAAATAAACGAAGCCTCGAACTGAAATAATAAATACATTTAATATTTGATCGATCGTTTTACTTATCGTCATTTTCTATTGTTCACTATGAATAAATTTAATATCTTGATATTATTATGGTTACTGATATTGTATTTCAATTGTTTTATCTTAATTAAAGGACAAGATGATAAACCGATTGAAAATAAAAAATATACTACTATAAATCATCTAGAAGAAGAACAAGGTCTTGAAGCATATAGATTGTTACTAAATAAAGATGGTGGATCATTAATAATAATGGTTAAATGGTTGAATTCAAGTTGTATTGAACCTAGGATAATCTTTCGAGTTTTAAAAAAAAATGGTGAAATTAAATCAATAGAAATCCCAAATAATAATTATATCCCCGATTTTAATTTTTGTTTGGTAAAGAATTTTGAGGGAGTGGAAGAATTAATTGTCAAATGGTATGCTTTGCAACCACATCAACTTTTAATCACTTACTTAAATTCTAGCGATATCAACGAGGCTACTTATTATGGTCTTTTGTTTTCTCTGGAAGGAGATTATGTAAAGTATGTACTTTGTAATCTTTCCTAGAGAATCATGATATACTAAATACGTGCGTGTGTATATAAATAATTTTTGTATAGTACGATCGTTTTATCAGCGGCGTATATAAAACGTGAGGAATTATTGCCCAATGCAAAAGTGGTTGTAAATTTGCAACAGGGAGGAGGATTTTTATTCGTAGATTACTTATCAAATACATATAATATACACTGGATTCATTTTAGTGATCCGTAAGTAATTACAAACTATTTGGAGTTACGAGAGTAATTCTTTTGCCGTTCGGTAATCTTTTATACCCCTTTTTTTGTAGGAACGTAAATGGAACATGTCAGATTTTGCAAAACGGAATGATAGAACAAGCTACAAGGATTAATAATAATTTACCAATTCATTATGATGCATTTTCATTAATGTTGGAAGGAGGGTTTGGTATAATATTCTCAAATAGGTCACAACCATTAATAGTGAACGAATCTAATAATAGAATGCTTTCAAATGCTGAAAAATTACATTGGAAATTCAAAATGATTTCAAATATGAATGATTTTATTACGGACCCCCCTTTACACGTTTATGTTACAATGATTAACAATGCAGGGAATAATGAAATTATTGGTCCATTTCTTATTTATCAAACTCCTTTACCAGACCTTAGAGTTGATTATATGGTTTGTGATGTCGCTTACGTTAGTGTTGGGTATATTTGTATACTTAAATTAGTTAGTAGCATGAATCAAGAATATTGGCTTAAATTATCTTTCTTGTCTTATGGGTGAGTGATGACGCTTCAATGTATTTGAGGTATCCGACTTATTTATTTATTTATTTTTTAAAAAATTCTTTTTATAATAATAGATCAGTAAGTCATATTGATAAGATAGTAGCAGATTTGGCTATGAAAGGGGTACATAAAGTAGAATTCAAAGCGTTATGGTCAGGAGGATATATAGCAACACTTAAGAGGCAAAGTATTAATAATAATACTGAAAATTTAATAGGAAATATATTAGATAATAATGGAAAGTTCTCTACGACATGGGATTTTCCTGATGATTTAAATGTACCAAAATCGACGCAAATGCAAATTTTTAAAAACAATAGTTGCTCATTACTTATACAAAATTCATATAATAATTCTTGGAGCATTCTGTAAGTATTAATTGGTTAAAAATTGACTAGTTGATTTGAAATTTTTATTTTATTTTATTTATTTTTATGTTTATAGATCGATTAAGCTGCCTAACCTCGTGAAAGGTAAGTTTATCGTTGAAAGTTTAACGTATTCTCGAAGCTTTCGTCTAAGTTACATATATATATTTTAAGATTACGGATACGATAATCCAAACATAGTAGGAACCGATCCACCAAATAATGCAACAATTCCATTACGATCACACATTGTAAAAATATTTTTTAAGATTAGAGTAGAACTTTCGACCAAATATATTGTAATATATAGATCAACAAATACCGAAGAAAAGTTTCGACAAAAAATGGTGGCAAATGATAATAGATATGTTACATTAAGTGATGATGGCATGACTTTAAATATACAGGTTTTGGAATGTACTTTCAATACTCCTAATGCTGGATATTTTGTTAGACTCGAATATAATTCTATCAAAGATGCTGATAATAAAGAACCTTTGTTTGGAATTAAAGCAAATGTTTACCGGTTAACTACAGGTATTTTTATTTTTATTTTTTTTTTTAAAAAAAAAAATTTATTAAATTTATTTTATTTATTGTTTATTGTAGCCAATGAAAAACCAGACACGAAAATTTTTACTCGTAATGATTTTCTATTAACTATATATTTTGTTCTTGATTCAATATTAATCTACTTCTTTACATATAGCTTCAATAAAAGGCATATTAAGATTGACATCAAATGGAACAGAATATTTCGAATCTTTAACGCAAATAGGAAAAGATGATTTTTTACAAAATTTATTGAAATGTGTTTCAGAATCAGTTCCAGTTGATCTTAGTAGATTATCGTTAGCAAAGTGTTGTCAGATTTATGAAGCTCCAGCTAATAATGAGAAACAAATTATTATTGGCATACGTATTGCTCAAACTAAAGATTTGAATTCGCCAAGTACTTATCAAATTATGAAAGACCTTGATATGATGATTAAAAGTCCTATTTCTTACACGAGCCAATGCAATGGTTCGGAACATATTGATAATACTTATGGTTTTGAACAAGGAGGTATTCTTTAATTTTTTTTTTTCTTTATTTTTTTTAAAAAAAAAATATATACTGTATATACTTCAAGTATTCTATCTTGATTAACTACCTTATTATCAAATGATAGGTGATTTCTTTGAGGAGAAGAAATATGAACTTCTTGGGGTTGGATCAACTTTTGGTCTAATATCTGCGGGTCTATTTGTTTTAAAATTAAAACATCGCGAGGTAATAAACAAATAAATATAATCAAACAAAAGGAATTAAAATTTAAAAAAAAAATTTTTTTTCTTATTTTTAACATTTTAGGCCAATTTGTACGCATTAATAAGGGCGGCTTTCTCTTTAATCGATTTTGTTGTGGATTTTCTGTTTTTAATTAACAATGCTCCTAACGTACCTTCGCTTTATGTTCCGACGTATGATCTATTTTTTTTTTATCTTTTTATTCTTGTTTAAATTTTATTTAATGTGTTTGTTGATAATAATTTTAGGTTGATAATTTTTATATTACCGTTAATTATAAATATGATATCGAGTATTAAATTGTTAATTAAAGAAATAACTTCAAATCCCCCGTTTTATGAATGGGTTAAAGAATATACTGGTATATTAGGGATATTTACTCTAATATCGTGTATGGAAATTGAAGTATTAAATATACTTGTATCTAATCTTGGTGGACTAAATTATTTTAATGCTCCTTTAACTGATAATTCATTAGAATTGATTTTTAGAGTAAGTTCAGTTTGTTTCTTTATTGAGGATATTCCTCAACTCGTAATCATGGTATGTTTAAATTTTATCTTCATTCATTCATTTATATATGATTTAAATTATAAAAAAAATATCTTCTTTTTTTCGACATATTAGATAATATATACGCAGAAAATTGTTAAATATAATGTTATTCAAGTCATTGCGGTTTTGTCAAGTGTTTTGGTTGTATTATTAGGTCTTATTACAAGAATTTATAAAGCTCTTGTGCATTTTAAGGTAGTAAAGCAAACTACATTTAAGGAGAAATTCGATGAAATGCATACTTTAGGCGATAAAAATTAAGAAAATTTCTTTTTTAAGGTTTATAAAGTTGGCGTAATGTAGTAATGATCCAAATTTTTTTTTAAAAAATAATTCTTTTGGGAAATTAAAAATTTTATTTGTATAGAAAATATTCTCGCTTCGAAAGTTTGAAAAATTTTTTTATTTAAAACGCATAATTTATAATTGAATTTCCAATCATTTGTTTCGTGTTACATTGTTAGTGATTTTGATGATGGATCTATTCGAAGCACAACGCATAATTGAATTGTAAATATTGGACAAGTGTTCGAAATTTTTGTTGGAGGAATACAACACATGATAACATTGAACTATTCTATCGATCGTACCATGATCGTCCAACAAACTTAATATCGTGAAAATAACGCGCAAAAATAAATTAGGGATTTAACCCCCTAGGTACTTACTGTACATGATGAAGTTTCTATCTATTTCCTCTCCTAATTGTTTGCGCCTTTTTTTCCTTGCACGCTTCTTAGTTGCGGATTCTTCTTCATAGCAGTCTCGAACTATCATCTGCACTAACCCAATCCCAAAATTTTTTTATTTATCCAACTTCGAAAAAATAAACATGGGACATCATATAACCTGAAATCTATTGATTGAAGGAATTCATTATCCAAAAATATCCTTTTTAAGGGGTACAAAATGAATATATGGGTAGTATTCTATTAAAATTGAGGTACGGATCATATGTTTTAATAGATCAGCTCCCATATGATGAGTTAATTGCGTCATTAAATTTGCAATGATTTAATAGGATACCTACTACGACACCCAATCACAAGATGATTTGATGATGTCAACTAACATGCAACTTGGACAGATGTCATCATCGTTACAACGGGCTAGTACACAATCACGATCTTCACAAGTGATGGCGTTACCACATTACAACAACTGCATATACAGCAGTTGCATCCTCTTTCACCGAGGCAACAGTATTCACCTCAGCCTCTACAATCTGTTGCAAACGAGGATTTGATGGATATTGACTCGGATACACGATCATCGACTTTAGAGCAAAAGACTGCGGAAAGTCTGGCAGCAAGCGCGGCAGCTGCTGCAGTTCCTCAACAGGTCCCTCCGATAGCTCCTTTTGCATTCATTTATGGCAATATTTCAAGCTACCCTGAAATTTCCACATCAAATGCGATGGATTTTGACATGGAAGATGCGAGTTCTCAACATCTCTTACCGAAACGAAAAGTTCAGCAATTAGTTGATCAAATAGATCCAAAAGAGAGGTTGGAGCCGGAAGTTGAAGAAGTTAGTTAACTTGTCCAAATCCTTTATAATTTAAATTGATTTAATGATTTAACTAATAATAATTTTATTAATAGATTCTCATTGAACTTGCGGACGAATTGATTTCATCGGTGGTTTCATTTGCGTGTTTGCTAGCCAAGCATCGCAAATCAGAAACTTTAGAGGTGAAGGATCTTCAGCTTCATCTAGGTACATAATGAACATTAATGATTTCTTTGGTTGATAAGATTTACGATTTTATATAATATTTTATTATTTTTATTATTTTTATTTTTATTTAGAGCGAAACTGGAATATTCGTATTCCAGGTTTTGCATCCGATGAAATCAGGTCGGTTAGGAAGCCAGTCGTTCCCGTCGGGCATCAACAAACGCTTGCGGCTGTGATGCAAGCAAAGGCCAACAAGGCCATGTCGGTCCATCCAACCAAATAGAGGCTAGTGTTCGCTTATATTGATTAAAATTATGAGCAATTAAGTATAAAAAAAGAAAAGAATTTTTTATTATTGGTAGGATAAAAAAAATTATAGGAATGAATGGTTGCTACTAAAAATCGCGAGAAAAGAAAAAGGAAAATTTTTTCTACGTTTCTTACGTAAGGCAGAAACTTTTAATTTTAAAACCAAATTATTATTTCTAACATTTTATTGATTCATTGAACGCTTTATTTAGTATATTGTGTATATATATGTACGCATAAATATATGTTTTATTGAATTAATTAAGCATATAAAAAGGTTGAAATTTAAGACTTCCAATGTATCAACGTAATGATAACATAATACACGAAATACACGACTATTAAAACGAGTTTCATGCCAGTGTAGGTGATTCAATATAATATACCCAAAATTGCATGATGAAACTTTGAAATATTTCGCTCAAATATGGGGGGAGGGGGATCTGACATAATAAATATCCTTTGATATTTTTAATTTATTTATTTATTTATTTTTTTTAACAAAAAAAAAATAATAATAAAGTTTCACTAAATTATAAAATATTTAAAATAGAAATGAAGCTTTTTAATAAAGAAAAAATTACTAGAGGAATCCACAAATGTTCCAAATACTAATAAATAATCCCATTATTACACATATTACGCCCAATATAGTTAGGAATAAATTTTTTTAAAGAATCAACAACATCCCATGAACCATAATTTGGTGGGATATCTTTGTGAATGGTATATAATATTGTAAATATATAAGATATTGTAAAGATTTTTCTAATAAATTGGAGGTTAAATGATTAGTTAAAATTTCTTCCAATAGGAAAATGTAAAAGTTAGATTAAATTACCTCTTCCAATTATTTTCCAACACAATTGTTGTCCATGTTATTGCATTGAATATTCTTGAAGTCATTGGTGTCTTTTTATGCGCTGTTGTTGAAAATTGATATCACCATTATCAAGTAATTGTTCTCGTACTTGAGTTGTCCTGGCGGCGCAATGACGAGTGCCTGGTATTTCATCAATATCACCCATATCTTTAAAGCGATCTTTTTTGAGTTTTTTTTTAAAAAACAAAAACGCCGCATTTAATATCAAAATTACTGCGCATTCGGAAAACAGTGTCAAAAAAGAGGATTAAATAATTTTATATTTTTATTGAAAAACACGAATAATTTGTATACAAATTAAGTGTGATCTCTCAACTTTCTAATTGTCTTAATTAAATAAAGGTAAATATTAAAATAAATAAAAGAGTTTCTTCATTTTAAAAGAAAATAATTTATTTAAATATTACAAAAGCGTTCTGAATATTCTTCATTCAGTAGTAAAATGAGAATAAATTTCATAAACTTGCTTTAACAAACTGAGCTTTCTACTTTAATACAAAGTTTAACTTGTGATGGTGGTGCTGGTAAGGCATTGACAGCGGTCAAGGTGGTCAAGGCAACAATTACAAACGCGATAAGGGTTGAATAAGTTGAGATTTTCATTTTTTTTTCTCTTTAAAATATAAAAAATGAGTAAAAGTATGGAATTTGAACTCTGGTTGAAATGATTGTTTTTTGGAAAAAAAAAAAAATTTTTTTTCCTTTTCCATTCATTTCCTTATAATTTTTTTTTAAAAAAAGAGATTTATAAAGAGAAAAGAGTAAGATTCTAAATTTTTAAAAATACTGTAATTGGATATTTCACTTCATTAAATACATTTAAATTCGTAATTTCGTACACCTCTTTAATTGTCTCGACATGACATAAAGGTAGAAGGTTGGATTACCCTGGTGAACACCCGGTCACGATGCTGTTACACGACCAAAGTACTATTAAAAAAAAAAAAAGAAAGATATACAGTCGAAGTGCTCTATAACGAATCTCCACTTTCGGTAACGTTTCACCGAATTTTTCAAGTTTACACCGTCAAAAAACCTCGGATCATGTGACTTATATATCTGTCACATCGCGTCACACCCCACCCATGTTTAATTTTTTAAATCCTATTTGTTACATATTTGTCAGACGCCCGTTAGTAAGGTTGGTTTATAAAATTAGCCATATAAGATATATTATAATCGAGGATTTTTGTATATGCGTATTAAACAAATTCTCTAAATAATATATCATCAAAAGTTTTCTTTAAACTCTCCTTTTATTTACCTTAAAAGAATCTTTTGCAAAAAACTCTTTATATATAGTTTTTATAAATACCTTTTGTAAATAATAAATTTTTTATGTTAATATCCTTTTGAATTTAAGATTATTTTTTTATATATTTAAAGTTATTTTTAGTATTCAAAACATTTAAAATTCATTTTATATAAAAATAAAATGTTTTTATTGAAAAATCTTTTTCAAATAAAAAAACTGTATGTGACTTTATATTTTCATGACTCTGCTTATTTAACATCTCAGTTTTCTGAAACTTTTAATGATTTTTTTGAATGTGTAATAAAACCAGTAGAATTAACTTTTATTTTTTTCTTGCTTTTTTTTTAGTTTTGTTTGGCAATAGTATTTATTAGGTTCTATATTGTATTTTACCATTTAAATGTAATCTAATATTTTGTTTATATAATCTTTCTTTTCCAATATCATAGCATTCAAAAAGTCTTTTAAATCTCTATTCATTATTTTGTAAAGTTCTTTTGAATATATTATAATCTAAATCAAATGAATTTTAATAAATAAAAGTTGCATATAATTCATCTGCCAATTTTCACATTACTTTTTTTTTTGATTTTATATTACATATTACATATTACAATCTTTTTATATGAGAAGTATATTAGCAATATATTCATCTAACAATAAATTAATTATTTCTTGTTTAAATTAAATAAAAGAAATCCTTGATTTTAAATCTTCTTGATTTTCTAAAATCCTTTCAATATTTTATTTAATATATTTTATTCCAAAAGTTTTAAGTATTTCTTTAGGTATTCAAAATAGTCAATTTAACTAAAACTATATGATTAAAAGATTTTTAAACTACTATTACTTTTGATATAAAAAGAAAATGAGTTTATCTGTAGTAAGATTAGTATGATTAAAGTTCTAAACAGATTAGATATAAAATTGATCTGAATTAAATATATATTTGATCTGACCTGATCAATATATCATATGATTTTAGATTAATTATAAAAATAATATATATTTAAAACCAAAAAATTTTTTTAAAAAATATAAAAAATATTGATACATTTTATTATTACAGTAAAATTTTAAAAAAAAACAAAAAAATTACTAACATAATAATATTTTTTTTTAAAATTTTTATTGTTTATAAATTTACAAATTACAAGTCAAATAACTGCTAATACATTACAAAAAATGTTTATAATTTTATAATCATTAATTTAATTATAATAAAAATTTATATACATATGGAAGGTGATTAGTAGAAAAGAGGAAAATCCAAATTTTGGTCAAAATTTATATTATTAGAACCACTTGGCTGATCTCGATCATGTGCATAAATTTAGTTTAATAATAAAAATTAACAACCATTTTGGATTTCCTCCTTTTCTACTGACCACCTCTCATATATTTTCAAAATTGATGAATAATTTTACTTATATAATAAAATCAATTTCATTTAACTAAAATATTTAAATTACTCTTTGAAATCAATGAATAGATAAAAAAAATAAAAATATTTTGTGAAAAAATATAATTATAAAAAATATTTATAACTTTATAACCATTAATCCAATTATAACAAAAATTTATATATATAGTCAACCCCCTCTATAATCACACCCCTCGGGACTATAAAATGGTGTGACTATATGAAGGTGTGCTTATACCAAGGGATTTATTATTATAATCACTTATATGTAAAAAATATTGT